CTCCCTCTGCCTTGTACTGCCTAGTAACCTAATGATTGCCGCCCCCCACCTCCTGAGAGATCCCACCTCCCGCTGTGTCCCGCCCTCTCCCCCTGAAGAGGCCTCACCCTCCCTCCCAGGCTGAGCTCTCTTCTCCTTGGGACCCCCAGCATGGCTGAGGGAAGCTACCGCACGGAATCGGAAACCTACAACGTTGAAGACATGGATGAGGGCAGTGATGAAGTGGGGGAGGAAGAGATGGTTGAAGGAAACGACTATGAAGAATTCGGTGCTTTTGGAGGCTACGGCACCCTCACCAGCTTTGACATCCGTATCCTCAGAGCCTTTGGGAGCTTGGGTCCAGGCCTTCGCATCTTATCGGTGAGACCCCTTGTGGGCCACCTGCTGGCCCTGGGCCCTTTCCCCTGTGAAGCTGCTGGAGAGGGGGCTGCTGTGGATGAAAGGGAGGGTTGCGTGGGGAAGGACTGCCCAGCTTCCCCAGCCTTCCCTCTCCTGCTCAGAGAAAGGGGGTTTCGGAAGTCTGGGGCGGGGCGGGGGGGGTGGCGGGGGGAGCTGGCTGCAGCGGGGAGGTTGGCCAGCACAGGGAAGCATGATGTGCAGCACATGTAGAGCTGTCTGCCCTCCCCTCCCTTTCTCTCTGGCCTTGCAGAATGAGCCCTGGGAACTGGAAAACCCTATGCTGGCTAGGACTCTGATGGAGGCATTTCAGCTGGATCCAGAAACACTTGCCAATGAGGCTGCTGCCCGTGCTGCCAACGTAGCCCGCGCAGCTGCCTCCAACCGTGCTGCTAGGGCCGCTGCTGCTGCGGCCCGTGCCACCTACAATCAGGTGGTTGCTAACCACCCGGTGACCACAGACCAGGCTTCAGGGGAAGATCCTCGGCCCATGACATATGGGGCCCAGGGTCAGGCAGCCACCCCTGAGACAATCCGTGCTGCTCCACACATCTCCCAGATGCTAGTCAACAGTGAGATGGCCGCCCCAGGAGCTCCGGCAACGTCCACACAGCCCCAGACAGCCTCCCAGGCCCGGGAGGCTGCAAACGAGGGCCCTAGTAGCGCCTGTGCTTTCTCTCAGGCTCCATGTGCTAGTGAGATGGATGCCACTCGGCCCAAGACAGCCTTCCTGGGTCAGAACGATATCTTTGATTTTACCCAGCCAGCAGGTGTCAGTGGCATGGCCTTCCCACGCCCCAAGAGACCTGCCCCAGCCCAAGAGGCCGCCACAGAGGGCCCCAGTGCTGCCTCCTCCGGGGTGCCCCAGGCAGCACCTGCCAGGGAGGGGGCGGCCACCCGGCCCAAGACGACCAAGTCTGGAAAGGCTGTTGCCAAGACTCGGTGGGTGGAGCCCCAGAATGTTGTGGCAGCAGCTGCTGCCAAGGCCAAGATGGCCACAACGAGCATCCCTGAGCCCGAGGGCGCAGCTGCCACTGCTCAGCACAGTGCTGAGCCCTGGGTCAGGATGGGAGGCAAGAGGACCAAGAAGGTGAGACCTCCCTGCTATCTCCAACCCTCCTTTCTCTGTTCAGCCCTCTTCTCTGGCCCCTCCCCTCCCCTCAGCCCTCCCCTCCCCTCCCCACCCTCCTCCCTTTCTCTCAGCTCTTGCATGTTTGTCCAACATGAGTTTGCTAGCATGCTCAGACTCCACCGAGTCTCTGCCCTCAGGCGTGGAGGAAGAAGAGGTTGGCTCAGTGCCGGGCACGTAGTAAGCACTCAGCACATGTCATCCACTGTTTGTACTACTCTTATTTCCAAGTACGTGCTCTGGTTGAGATGTGTGCTGGGCACTCTTGCACGGTGAGCCTGCTAGCCCTGGGTCTCTCCTCTCTCTGACACTCTGACTATAGTCCAAGCACCTGGATGACGAATATGAGAGCAGCGAGGAGGAGAGAGAGCCTCCTGCGGTCCCACCAACCTGGAGAGCATCACAGCCCCCATTGACGGTGCGGGCTCAGGTGGCTCCCCGGCCCTCGATGGCCCTGAGGTCCCAGGTGCCCTCAAGACACGTGCTGTGCTTGCCACCCCGCAACGTGACCCTTCTGCAAGAGAGGGTAAGAAACCTGCTTTTCTCCCATCTCCCTCCTCTCCTCTCCTGTGGGCCAGTTCCTGGAGGTCACCCATGCCTTGCTCTCCCCGTGTGCTCCTCTTCCTCCTCCAGGCAAATAAGTTGGTGAAATATCTGATGATTAAGGACTATAAGAAGATCCCCATCAAGCGCTCAGGTGGGCAGCCCGGGCCCCCTCCCCAAGCTCTGCACACCCCCCACAATCCCCATCTCTACCCTATGGGGCCTGGCATCAGATGTCTCCACCCGGCAGGCCCAGCTGATCCCTCCATGTGCACAGTACGGGGTGGAGGGGGGAGTGGGGTTCCCGACGGTGCTCCCCTCAGCAGGGTTGACCGAGGGTTGCTGCAGCTTTTTGGCCCCTGCTCAGCCCAGGTGCTCTCTCCACCCCACTCCCCCGCAGACATGATGAAGGATGTCATCCGAGAATATGATGAACATTTCCCTGAGATCATCGAACGAGCAACATACACTCTGGAAAAGGTGAGCGAGGGGCAGAGGCAGCTCACTGTGGTACAAGAGCTGCAGGGAAGCCTTGCACCCTGCAGCCCCCTGAGGTCCACTTTCAGTACACCTCCTCTGGCGGGCTCTCCTAGCTTCTCCCGCATGATCCCTTCTTCGAGGCTTCCCCTCCCTCATGCTGTCTGTTCTCTGAGCCTCCCTGGTCTCCTGAAGTGGGTCCCACTGCTTTGGCCAGTGCCGGAGCTCCCACAGGGCAGTTCTCTGCAGCCTCTCTCCTTGAGCCTTCCGAATAACTTCGGGGTGCCTGTGGAGGGAAAGTTCTAGCGGGGAACTCAAGGACTGCCTGCAGGACAGGCAGCATGGGTTTCTGATCCCATGTTGTCTTCTCCCCCACATAGAAGTTTGGGATCCACCTGAAGGAAATTGACAAGGAGGAACACCTGTATATTCTCGTGTGCACCCGGGATTCCTCAGCTCGCCTCCTGGGAAAGTAAGAAAGGGCAGGAGGGTTGTGGCCTTCCTCACTGTGGCCTCCCCCTCCCCTTCCTCTCAGAGCAGCTGGAAAAGGGGCCTTTGGTGCCTGGCACAGCTCCGGCTCCCAGCCCCGCAGTCCGTGGTACCCAGTGATTAGGGGATGAAAGGGGAAGTGGCCTGGGCTGAAGCCTTGCTCCATGCTCTCGATGCTCTCGGGGCTTCCCCTCCCCACGCCCATAACCCCACCCCCCACACCACCTCCAAACCCCGTCTTCTGGGGGAAAAAAGTGGGCTCCTTGTTGCCTGCCTCTTCCTGCTATGTGCCTGGCCTGGGCTTGGCAGTGGTGGTCCTGGAGGAAGGAAGCTTCCTGTCCAGTGTAACTCCCGATGCTCAAGGGGCAGGGAAGGTCTGGATGTGCCCCCGAACACGAACACGCTACTGCTGCTGCTGCTGCTGCTGCTGCTGCTGCCGCCACTGCCAAGTGGTTGCTCCCTGCCTGACCCCCTCCTGGATGGAACTCTGTGAGGGGGCATTCACATCCGCATTTGAGGCATGAAGCGATTCAGTCTCAGACAGAGGAATGAATGGTCTGGATTAGAGAGCAACTCGTGCGTAGTGTGCGAAGAACCACCCCGTAGCCCAGGCCTGTGGGCAAAGCTAGTTGGGTGAGCCAGCCCTAGTCTCTTGGGCAAATGGCTGCTGGACAGGATCCCTCTTTCTACCCCTCTAGGACCAAGGACACTCCTAGGCTGAGCCTCCTCTTGGTGATCCTGGGAGTCATTTTCATGAATGGCAACCGTGCCAGCGAGGGTGAGTGGCTGGACCCGCAGCCAGGGGGTTGCCCAGTCTCAGCCTGGTGTGCTGAATTCTTGTGTCTCTTCTCCTCTCGCAGCCGTCCTCTGGGAGGCACTACGCAAGATGGGACTGCGCCCTGGGTATGATTGGGCTCTCGGCTCCCGCTCCTCAGTACTGTCCTTGGGCACTGGTGGCCCCGGGATTGTAAATAGCCGGGTGGCCTCGTGCAGGAGGGTGGATGTCCTGGACTGGGTTGAGCGCTGAGGGTGCATGGTGAAATGGCCCTGGACTCTCAAGCCCCTCTCTGCTCCGTGTCCCCCCTCTGTCCCCAGATGAGATCTCAGAGAACCCATCAGAATTGAGGGTTCAAATCCTACCCTTGCCGAGGGCATCCCTGACATGGGGCCATGTGGCCCCTGCTGCCACCCCAGACCTCCATGGGGATGCCCCACAGGCTGGGACGCTCTCCATCCCGCTAGGGAGCACACCTGCCCACATCCGGGCACTGCCATTGTGTGTAGTTATGGATTCCTTCCTTTCCTGGCCCTCAGGGTGAGGCACCCATTCCTTGGAGATCTGAAGAAGCTCATTACAGAGGACTTTGTGAAGCAGAAGTAAGTATTGGCCAAGTTAACTCTGTCTCACACTCGCGCATTCCTCCTGGGCTGATCAGGCTGAGCGAGCCACTCCCCATGCCGGATCTTAGCACAGAGGGATAGGCGTCTCTTCTGTGAGGGTGGGTGGGGTGTGTGAGTAGACTTCCAGCGCAGCCTTGGAGAGAGGGAGTAGAAGTCGACAGAGACTCCAGTGCAGGGTGTGTTAGAGCCACCATGCCATTTGGCCCCTGTCCCTCTAGGCTGTAGGAGAATGTCTCCTGCTTTACATCCCAGGAACCTGGGGCTCAGAGAGTTGGAAGCCTGAGCGTGGCCCCAGCTGGTGAGGGGCCCATTGGGTCCTGGAGCCCAGCCCGCCTACTTTTCTGGTCAGGGCCCACCTGGTCCTTGGTCCTTGGAGAACACGTGTGTACTCATGCAGGTGCACTACACATGCCCGGGTGCACACAGACATGCGAATGTGTGCGCACACAAACAGACACGGAGTTGGGGGGTGTGCGGGGAGTATGCTGGGTTTCTCCCCTTTACAGTCCTCTCCTATGGTGGATCGTCCTGGGGTTCTGCCAGGCCATCGGCGGGACCCTGCCGTGGAGTGTGCTCAGAGCAGGGGACCCGAAGAAATGGCTCCTCTGTTTACGACACACCCAATGGGAATCTGGGTTCATTGTGACAAGGGGCCAGAAACTGGTGGCCTTACTACAAACAGAGACACCCTACACGTGTTCCACTCCGTACTTCCCGTGGCGTCTGGGCAGGACTGGCGCCACGTGGAGGCCTCGGTCCTGGAGGCAGAAACCCTGGGAGTGAGCATGGGTGTGAGGCATGGGCTGGAGGGCCAGGACAGTCCTCCTGCAGGAGCTGAGCTGCAGTATCGGGGCTGGGAAGGGACGACCCGGGAGCCCTGGGCACAACAGCAGGTCTGCTTGGCTGGAGGCAAACGTTTATCTTCCTCTCGCACTGAGGTACCTGGAATACAAGAAGGTCCCCAATAGCAGCCCACCCGAGTATGAATTCCTCTGGGGTCTGCGAGCCCGTCACGAGACCAGCAAGATGAGGGTGCTGAGATTCATCGCCCAGGTAACTGCCTCTGTTTGGGGCCAGGCGGTGGGGTGTGGGTTTGGTCTGTGCCATACCTCCTCTGTTTCTTGGTCATGGCCCCCTTCCTTAGGCTGTCTGTCCAGTGAGGATACTGACGCATTCCTAAGTAGGTGTCTTCCCCAAGTTCACAGAGGTAGTAAGTGGGAGGCATGGGGTGAGGTCCTGGGGCTGGCGGGGAGTCCTTAGGAGAGCCGGATCCCAGTGGTCTTTCCTTTCGTCGGGACCATGCACAAGGCACTGGGGGTGGGAGCTGGTGGTGGCAGTGTATGGCAGGAAGCAGGTGCCCCGTGAACGTGGGGTCGCTGTTTGCATGGTCTCTGTTGCTCTACCGCAGAATCAGAACCGAGACCCCCGGGAATGGAAGGCTCATTTCTTGGAGGCCGTGGATGATGCTTTCAAGACGATGGACGTGGATATGGCTGAGGAACATGCCAGGGCCCAGATGAGAGCCCAGATGAACATCGGCGATGAAGCCCTGATTGGACGGTGGAGCTGGGATGACATACAGGTGGAGCTCCTGACCTGGGATGAGGATGGAGATTTTGGCGACGCCTGGGCCAGGATCCCCTTTGCATTCTGGGCCAGATACCATCAGTACATCCTGAATAGCAACCGTGCCAACCGGAGAGCCACTTGGAGAGCCGGCGTCAGCAGTGGCACCAATGGCGGGGCCAGCACCAGCATTCTGGATGGGCCCAGCACCAGCTCCACCATCCGGACCAGAAATGCCGCCAGAACGAGTGCCAACTTCTTCTCCTGGATCCAGTAAGATTTTCAGTCCATAAACAAAACCCCGAAGCAAGGGATGGGAAGGGGCTGTGAGGAGTCCAGTCGGGGGAAGGCCTGGGTGCAGTGGGGGAGCAAAGAGTGTGAAAGACCCTTGTTTCGTTCTTCGTACCCCTCCCCCACTGCCGTGTGTTTATACTTCTGCACCTGCTCCTGTGACTTCCTTTACAGGCAACGCTGACGCTGCCGAACCGCAACCGTCCCTCACCAAGCCAGAGTGCCTCCTCGGATCCCTCCTTAACAAGGCACTCTAGGCAGCTTCGACCTGCCCATCTCAGATGGCATGCAAGATGAAGCTCTCTTTGCCCTTCCTGCTTTCATCATGTGCTTTCCTTGTGCGCTTCCGTGGTGCGCCTTTGTCGTGTTTTCATGTTTTTGGTATCAGTGTTACATTAAAGTTGCAAAGTTACTTGGGGCGTTTCCTCCTTCCCTTGTGCAATGGACCTGGGGACATGGCTATCTGGGGGGCACGTGGTTGAGGGCTCTGAGGTAGATACTACCCGCCTCTGCCTGGAAGGCAGCAGGTGTGGGTAGGGTGCTGGGAAGATGTGGAGGTGCCAGCTGGGTGTCCAGACCATGAGTTTTGAGAGGCTCCAGTCCCCACGGTGGCGTGACTTCCTACAAGGTACAACCTCACTTGGGCGCCAACGGTGGCAGGGGGAGGGGGGTTGGCAGGAAGAGGGGTGGAATGAAAGGCTGTGGGTTGGTGCCACTATTCCTCCCACCAAGGTACAGGGTCCGCAGACATCCACCAAGACCCTTCCACCCCATCTTTGGAGGTGCCATCTTGGAACCCTTCCCTCATCATCCACACAACTTCAGCACCTCATCCCTCCTTCAGGTGGAGTCTTCAGGACAATGAGATAGGCCTCGGGGACATTTTCACCCCTCCAGCAGGTTGAGGGAGGAGCCATAATTGCCCACAGAGTAGGTTTAATGAAAACAGACCTCAACAACCTGTGACCGGACCCGAGGCCTGTTTGTGGGCTCCAGAGCTCTCCTTTGCTGGGAACCAGTGAAGGCCAAGGCTGGGCCTAAGTTCTGGTGTCTTCCAGGGCTTGGGGTGATCCCTGTAGGAGCGGGGTTGGGACTGCGATTCCTGCAAGGGACGACAGTAAGAGCAGAGATGCCTGGAAAGGGCTCAGTGGCACGCAGTAACAGTGTCCAGAGCTCTCTCAGGTCCCTCAGTGATGCCCACAGTTGAAGGACGAGGCCCCAGGTTAAGAAGAAGAGGATCGTGTGAGGGCCCCTGCACACCATTGCCTCTTTTCCCCCAAGAAGAGGTTCCCTCCTCTCACCCAGTCTTGGCTCCTGACCCAGATCCAGGCACATACTTTCACAGGCCCAGTGGAGAATGAAAACCGTGGGACCCCTTGCTTGGAAATCATTAAGAATCCCAAGAGAGTGATGGTAACGCATTGAAATACGTGTGCAAGCCCTCGGAGCAAGGGTCCCATGGGGCTGCATAGGTCACACCCTCAGGACGCTAGCTGTATAAGGTTTCCTCCCCCTGAAGTCAGGCTTCAGCTGGGTTTCTGCCTAGCCGACCACTGCTGTGGTGTCTGCCTGCCTGGCTGCTGGGTCCCTGCTTGGCCACGTGGACACTGTGATTCCGACAGAAATCGAGTCCCCTTCACTTTAGCTTTCCTGATGCATGGTCTGGGATGAGAGAGGGATGAACGATGCCTGGCATCCGAGTCCTGGGGTGATGAATGATCCAAGATTTTTCTGGCACGCTCACCCTGGGAACCTCCCAGGACCCTGTTGTGCAAACAGCAGGCACATGCCTTTTCATGGATGAGGGTGCAGACACTCACCCAAAGCCACAGGTGTGAGCGTGAGCACTGTGTGCAGAGGACACCTGAGGTACAGCATCTCATCTGGCAAGGAGGAGAAAGCAGCTCTCAGAAACAGGGTGCTGGTGAGGGTGCCACCTCCCCAGGCCTGTGGGCTTATAACACTCCCCTCTTCCATCTTCCTTTCCCCTGGCTGGCCCCTCTCATGGGGTGGGCGGGATGGGGGCAAGGGGCTTCCCTGGAGCTGCACTCTGCATGGGACAGTTGCGAGCAGGGTGGGCGGGGAGGAAGAACACAGTGGGGTGGCCTCTGGAAGAGGGAGGAAGGAACACCCAGGGGAATGCTGACAGATTGACTCTCAGGCTGGTCACCTGAGAGGCAGCCTACCTGCTTACTCACAGGGCAAACGTGCCACCAAGGCAAGTCTCCCTCCTGGGACCCCAACCCAAGATCCTCCAAGGCTAAATGTGTGCTCTGTCCACTGTAGCTGGCTGCCACCACCTTGGAGGGGCTCACAGCGTCATGGGAGCCACACTTCTATCTCTCACCACTCTCCAACAGCAGCCACTCTCACCCATCCAGGCTGTGCTTAGTACTTCCCATCTCCCTTCACTGGGCCAGGACCCCACCCCTCATGGCTTCCCTGTCCCCATGGTTCATCCTGGGCTTTTAAGGCCCCCACCACCCTCCCAGCCGCCTCCTCCTCTTTGTCATCATCACTGTCAGGCCCTGGAGCCCAGTGCTTGGGTGCAAGATCTCATTCCATCCTCCCTGGTACTCTGCAGGGGTGACTGTTCCCACGGCAGACATGACAAAATGGACTCTGAGAAGGGGAGTGACTTGCCTGAGGCCTCTGACCTAGCTCTGCCACCACCTGGTTGAGTGACCTTGGCTCAGCCTTTTCTCTCTGGCCTTCAGAGTTCCCACCTCTCACAGCACAGGACTGGGCTAGATGTACTCTTAGGGTGCCCCAGCTCTGAGGTCCTGTGGATCTGCTTTTCCCTGTCACATCACCTCTCTGAGCCTCAAGTGTTTCCTCACTGAGTAATAAGGGTAAAAGCATGTACCCAGCACTGCCTGGCCCAGCTCCCATGGGGGCTGGGAGCAGCTGGTATGGCCTGTGCATGAAAGCGGGTAGGAAGTGGGTAAAGCAGTGGGAGAATGACAGGTGCATGTGCCCCCTTGTCAATCTCCACATGTCTGAGATGGAGGTCCTCTGGAAAGCACCTGAGACTAACACCCCTCCCTGTCCCCCTGAGCCCTGTGACCTCAGGCAAGTCACTCCACCTCTCAGAGCCTAGTCTCCATTTTCTGATCTGCGCAGCCAGGGTTACTTACAGTGCTTGCCTCACCGTCTCCAAGATGGTACCGAGCAGTAGAGATTGGAAGGTATCGGAAATCTACTAGCACCAGAAACCTCAGCCCAAACTCAACCATCTTGTCCAGTGAGGAGACGGAAGGCCAGACAGAGGAAATGACTTGTCCGATGTCAAGTTGCCAAGTTCCCCGGGGTTCAATTTTGGATGACTCCATACTGCAAGTGTGCTTTATTTGGAAACTACCATCATAGAAATTATACAAATCTGAAGGACATCGTACACTTCCAACATGACTTTGAACGCTGCTCACACACCCTCACGGTTTCCCGAGGTGCCAGCACTTCAGCTTCCATGTCAGAAAAGGGCTCTCACACCTGAAGGTGACACAACAGTTCCTTGCCAGGCTTCCCGCCTTAGTCTGTGGCTCAACCAATGCAGGCAATTTTCTTTGGAAATAGTTGACGTATCTATGCGTTACAAAGCTCAAGAAATGAAAGCAGTGTACATACCAATCACCACATGAAGGAAGAAAATTACAGAGACTGTGGGGTTACAGTTTAGGAGGGTGTGGAACAAAGCAGCTCCCCTACCCTGTCCATGGAAGTCTCGATTTGTACCTGGCCTTTGAAAAACATTAGGCAATTACAGCATGGTGCTACCTCATGAGCCTCAGGGGAAGAGATATCAGAGACAAGGTCTAGGTGAACGTGGGCCTCCTGACA